TTTATGTCATTACAATTCGTCTTTAGTAATTCAAACTTTTCGTATTTGTGAAACCAAAGTGTTGAAATTACAGTGTTTGTGTAATCTTCTTAATGTTTATCTAGAATTACTGCTTTTAATACAGTCAAATATAATTTGTGATGATCAAAATTTCCAACTGAATTCAAAGACAAACTGCCTGACCTATACATATTTAGAATTTCAATATCATACATTCTTGAATATCCATAAATATCAAAATATAATGATTCAGCATTAGCTATCATCCATACACTTGTTAACCTAAGGAACGCTCTTATCATAAGTTAAACGCATGAAATTCCTCATGCAATTTTGAAGAATTTCTGTTATAAGGGATGGTGAAGACAAAAGAAGAAAAAAAGTATGGTGTAAAGTTAGCCTCACCCAACACCCAAGGGAGAGGGGGAGGGGGGTTGAACCCTTTTTTAATTGAAACAGGAATAATTTAATTTTAAAGTTAAATTTTTTATAAAAACAAATTAAATTTGTTTTTAAAGAAATTATAAATTTGAATTAAATTATTTGTTTCAATTATTTTTATTCAACCCCCCTCCCCCTCTCCCTTGGGTGTTGGGTGAGGCTAACTTTACACCATACTTTTTTTCTTCTTTTGTCTTCACCATCCCTTATAACAGAAATTCTTCAAAATTGCATGAGGAATTTCATGCGTTTAACTTATGATAAGAGCGTTCCTTAGGTTAACAAGTGTATGGATGATAGCTAATGCTGAATCATTATATTTTGATATTTATGGATATTCAAGAATGTATGATATTGAAATTCTAAATATGTATAGGTCAGGCAGTTTGTCTTTGAATTCAGTTGGAAATTTTGATCATCACAAATTATATTTGACTGTATTAAAAGCAGTAATTCTAGATAAACATTAAGAAGATTACACAAACACTGTAATTTCAACACTTTGGTTTTACAAATACGAAAAGTTTGAATTACTAAAGACTAATTGTAATGACATAAAAGACGAGACTTATAAGATAAATATTAAAATACTCAGTCCTCAAGATTGAAAGTTTTTAAAGATTGAAAGTCTGAATGTTTTTAAGATTGAAATCCTAAAAGGCTGAAAGCCTAAAAGTCTGAAAGTCTGAATCTCAAGATTTAATATACATATTGTGTTTTGAAGGATTGAAAGTCAGTATATGATTTGCTTGTAAAACTCTCTAAAATGAAGGAGCACATTCAGTGACATATTATAGAAAGAGTCTGAGATTTTATACCTAATTCCTTACAAATAAAGAATATCACTATGAGATCCTTATAATGAAGTTTTACTGTAGCAGGAATACATTGACCTTTAACCTGAAAAGTCAAAAGAGATGTTAAGATATTCATGGAAAACAATGGTATAGCAAAAAGTGTGCTGATCTTTAACCTGAAAATCAAAATATATGAAGTTTGTTTAATTAACCTATCCATGAAGTTTGATGAATATTAACTAAACAATTAAATTTAGCAGATGTCCACATCTCTTTGACCTTTTGACTAAAAACTTAATAAGGTCATTTATTTACCTTTGTTTGACTTTGATGAGTATCTTATATGTTGGATATATTAGCAAGACACAATCTAATCTGAGTAAAGAGGAAACCTGGAAAAGCTTTCATCCCTTTGTATGAACAAATTAATTGATGTCATGTTGATATCTTAACCAGAATATCAGAACAATCTGATGATTCTAAAATAAAGTTCTCACTATACTAGTTAGAAACCATTGCTCTACCTGTCAAACACAAAAATATGAATGTCAACTTAAAAAAGCAAGTAGGGTTCCTTTTCTTCAAAAGGTAAAATTTTGATGGATTGGGTGATTCTATGTTACTTCATACCTAATAAAGAATTTTTTTTCCTCCATGTTGACTGTATGGATTAAGAACTAATGATATAATTGAATCAAACTTATTTCTTTCATGTCATTCTTAATGTCATAGTAACCATCATTCATATTATGTACAAGTCTCAATCCTAATAGATGAATCCACATTTTGTTTTTATTTCACATCCCTTGGCAACCATATTTGAGGGAAACTCAAAATTATCTGTTCATGTCATTTTCTGGTGTATACCTTCATCATTTGACATAATTTATTTACTTCTTGTATTTTGATTTCCTAAATCAGAGCTATTCATACATAGAAAGAAAACAAAAAAAAATGAATACAGTGAATTTATTGCAATACCTACATGTTTGATACATAAAAAAGATATATTTTTTTCATTCCTTTTTTTGACCTTTGGATTGATCCTGAATTGAGATAACCATTTACTTTTTGGCAAGTGTAAACTATATACTGCATGACTAAACATGATTTGTATATTGAAATTTGAAATGGTTTCTTTAATGCTTAAATCAAAATACTCCAACTGTCTTAGTGAGAATTATGCTCAATTATCCTCTTTAGGGAGAGGGCTCAAATAGGCTTTGCCTGCTGCCCATGTCATTCACTTATGTGAATAAAATTTTGTATAAATTAATTATGCTCAATCAACTTTGTGAAATATTCCCAATTTCCAATGCTTCTTATTTACATTAAGTAACTGACTCAAATTAAATTGTTTGTTTTCTCATTTATTTTATAGGAAATAACATGCTGACAGTGAATCTAATCATTTTTTAAAACTGGTTAAAGTAATGTTTACAATTGACTTAAAATGCTTAAATGCAAGTTTATTTCATACAGAAATACCTTAATTGTATAGACTGAATTTACTTATAGATTAAATATATAGAAGAACCCCTTATTAATTGTAAAAACCATTTTTCAAACCTGATTTTCTTGTTTATTCTCTCATATATTACCTAATTTGAGTATTCTCAAATTATTGATTACATAAGCAAACAAATTTAAGACAAAACCACAATATATGCTGAATGCCCTGGAATGAAATGGTTACATATGTAAGATGTGTAACACATCATGTACAACTTTTAAGTCTACAAAATTTTAAGTTAACCATATTATACAATAAGACTACTTTTTCAAAGTTATGAAAAATTCTCCACAAAAATATGTATTTATGCAAAAGATAAATGTTAGGGTACACTTTAAAATACATTTTACATGAATCACATAAAAGAACATTACAAATCATTTCTTTGTGCTTGTTTTCCTTTTGGAACATCTGCGAACAGATATTCTATTTTGTCTTTTTGATACATAAAAAGCGTCCAAAAATCATTTGGAATTGATGTGTTAAACCCTGATACTCAGAATTTTAAGAGTTTCTGATGTATGCCCTACTTAGAAATGTTTACAATGTAACAAAGATGAAACTCATAATTGATTTAATCAACAATGATAAAGTCATCAGGTTTCCACATGCTTTTCTAACACATCATGTACATTTTTTTCTACTAGTATGTTTTTGTTCACAAAAATTAAAATCAACAGAACTTAGCATTCCATATAAAGAAATATAAACCCTAGCTATTAAAAATCTAAAAATATATTTGTGCATCAATGCATTATGTTTAACAAAACAATCTTTTTCACTGTGATGAAAATTGTCTTCTTCATATAACATGCAGATAAAGAACTTCTTTGGATGATGTCATTTTCACATGTAGAAAAGAAACTAATTCGACTAAAACTAAAAGACAGTCATTAAAATTTTAAGGACATTAAAGGATGATATCAAGACCTAAGTCCAGAAATTGATAAAATTCTACAATTATCATCCAAAGATGTATATGTTTGGATTTATTTTTTAATTCACAAGCAAATGATATGCTGCCATTTAATCTTTCAAACTTAAAAAAAAAATTCTATACTTTTGAATGAAAATTTCAAAATCTAGAGGAGTCTTCCCAATACCTATCTATTTATGACTGAATATATGTAAATCACCAGAGTTGCTGTACTGCACCATTTGAATAAAAGTCATATCCACATTCCTGCCTTTTTTTCTAAACCTTATTTCAAAACATAAATTATTTCAATCAGTCTTTATCTACGCAGTGATTATAAGATTTTTACAGAATTCTAAGGTATTACATAGTAATAGTCTTTAAACAACCTTGAACATAGTGCATATGATTTACATTTCAATTCTTTCCAAAGAATATGCTATGCCACCCAATAAAGCTAAAATAAAGTCTCTAGGTTATCACAAAATGTTAAAAGTCACAACAACTAAATTTTACCCAGGAGAAAAATGATCCAAAAATCTATAGATCATCTCAGAATCTTTCTTTACTTATGATGTGAAGTTTGCAGGTTACAAATTATTGTCAAAGGTAGTTATCTCAATAATCTCATGCTTTGACCCTGACAAAGTGTCCTATAAAACTAAGTGTATTACTCTAACCTGTTCTGTGTAGTAAGCATGAAGTCTATGGGATGATAGAAATATTCAAGATATTATTACATCTTTATGGGGGTCCTATTGAGACCTATTAAATTCAAAATAGGACACACACATACACAAACAAAATTTTTTTTTAAAGTTCCAGGAAAGTAATAATTACACCAAAGCTAGCTTTTAAACATCTGTGTAATTTGTTAGGGGTTGTAGAAATAAGATGAAAAATAAAAGGTTTAAATGTATACTTCTCATACATAACAACTGTCTTCAATATGAATTAGTAAAAATAAAAGTCACATTTAGATACTTTGAAGTCTGGGAATTATTATTTTTTTTTTTAAGATCTCATACTATCAGAAAATCACAATATCAATTCTAGGATTTGATTAGACATCAGTTTGTTATAAGACTGCAATTTATCTATTGTTGTGTATGACAGAATATGATAGAGATGAAGGGGAGAGCTTTTTACTTTTTTTTCCTTCAGCATAGTTTAAAATATATATTATACAGGTCTTTATCTATGTAGTGAATATAGGATTTTTACAGAAACCCAAGGTATTACATAGTAATAGTCATATATAAACACCTTTGAACATTGTACATTTGATTAACATTTCATTCCTTTCCTAAGAATTTGCACCTAATTTTTATAAAGTCTATAAGTTATTACACAATGTTTAAGTTATTGCATTACAGGACTCAAATCAGTAATCTCAGTAATTAACTTTTACCCAGGAGTAAATGATCCAAAAACTCTATAGAAATATCTTATTGATTCTTCATCTGAGTGTGTACTTATGATGTGAAGTTTGTAAGTTACAAATTATTGTCAAAGAAGTCATCTCAATAATCTTATGCTTTGACCTTGACAAAGTGTCCTTAACAACAAAGTGTATTCCTACAACCATTCTATATGTAATTAGTATGATGAATATGGTATGATAAAGATATTCAAGATATTATTAAAACACAGATTATGGGACACTTGCATCTTTATTGGGGGTCTTATTGAGACCAATTTTAAATTCAAAATTAAACATGATACATACACAAACAAAATATATTTACAATTCCAGGAAAGTTAAATAATAACATTAAATCCAGCATCTGGATATCTGTGTTAATTTCTAGGGGGTTGTAAAAATTAGATGAAAAATAAAAGGTTTTAATGTGTAATTCCCATACATAACAACAGTCTTCAATATGAATTGGTAAAAATAAAAGTCACTTTCAGATACTTTGAGGTCTGTGAGAATTAGTTTTTAAAGAGCTCATGCTATCAGAAAATCATATTTTCAATACTTGATTTGACTAGATCTCAGTTTGATAAATGATTACACTTTATCCATAGTCAGTGTCTGACAGTGAAAGATACAATCCTGAGTCCTTTCTTTGTAATCCTGTAAACCACAGTCTATGATTGTACTGGTTAAATTCGTTGGAAATCATATTTATCTATGTTCTTCTTAAATCCTCCATCCTCTTAAGTTTGGTTTTCTTGTTTCAGTGTTCCAAGAGAGGATATTCTGTTGATCTTTGCATAATCTGATAGTCTTTCACCATTCTAAGAGTAGACATAGATCATTTCCATAAGCCCTCACAAGAGAATCCTGAAAAAAATAAAAAAAATAATGTCTTAGTTGAAAAAGAAAAATTGTAATGCAATATAAGCTTGATGGAATTCTAAATATAGACAAAAAGGGTATAAATACAAGTTGTAACATAAGATTTTGACTTTTCATATTAACCATGGGTAACACCTCTAGTAAAGAAAAGAGTAAAGGAATAAGTAAAATTCAGTTTGGAGAGAGAATTCTTTCAGAGAAAGATGTAGACAGAGGTATACCAGTTAAAATAAAAAAAGATGGCACTATTGAGATCATTTCTCAAGAAGAATATAACCAATTATGTCCAGAAAAGGGTGATCCTAATGTTGTCAGAGATTACATAGAAAGACCCTTGATTGCAGAAGAAGCAAATGAAGAATATAACCATTTATTACCAAAAGAGGGTAAGAATTACTTGGATTACCCTGAAAGACTTTTGACTAGAGAAGAAGTCAAGTTTATAGATGATAAGAGAAAACAGTTGTCAGAAAAAAAAGATTGTTAAAGACACATGATTTTTAGCCCACAAAACCATTGGAGATACAAGGATTACAAGATATAAGGATTAATGGAGGAAGTCCAAACTGAACTCTTGGAAGACATTAAGGCTCATTATGAGAGTAACTTTCCAGTGTTTGTTTATTACAAAATTATGTATTCTGATTTAAAAAAAAAAGTTTTCACTTTCATTTGTTGTGCCTTTGACCATTTAAATTGACCTTATGGTCAAGATTGTGATATATACACTCTGATAATCATTTATGATGTCTCTATGATGTTTACCTCAAAAGTTTGAATCAGGGTATTTGTGTTCAAAGAGCTGAAGAAACTATACAGACAGATCTATAATGATTTTGGAAGCATACATATTAATGAGGTTAAAGGAGATATAACACTTGAATTCATTACTACATTATTAAAAAGAAAGAACACAAACTCATAGAAATGATATTGAAAGTACCTTAAATGAATAAAGTGTCATGCTCCAAGGTGTGCTTTAACAGAAGGTTTACAGCAGTCCCATGCACTCATAAGAAGATCTTGGGTAGTAGAAACACCAGGAAATTTTAATTCCAAACAATCAGATCATCTTACATCAGTTATATGGTTACAGTCTTTATACATAATCAAGAGGGTCATTAAGATTTCTTTTCTGGTCATCCTGATGGGCCACATTATAGTATTTTTACCCTGTGATATAATGTTAATATTAAATGAAAAATTCAAAATTCATCAGCAATTGGAGTCAAAACTTGCTATCTTTACCAACTATGCTATTAAGGAAGCTGGGGGTTAACAAATTAGCCATATTTAACTTATTCTATAGATATGCTATCTTCAGCTGTTGACTATCATTTGGAAAGAAAAATTTCATACATTTTAGTTTTAAAAATTGATCATGCATTTTTATGCCTTTTCTTCTTCTTCTTCTAAAGGATATCAATATAGTCTAAAAATGACCATGACCACCAAGCCCTGTTTATTTAAATATATCATTTACATATCAATTCAAAAATATAAACATGCATATGTAAAATAAATAAATAAATAAAAATTACAATTGTATCTCATTGAAACTTTACCTTCAAGTTTGTGTGTTTCTATGTTTGTTGACTAACTGTGTATTTCCAAAGGAACAGCAGACAGTCTGAACTTCATAGAGAATGGATTATAGATGTTAGGAACAAACCATATCTTCCATGTTGATGACTGTAGAAATAAAACCATTTTGTTAATATGACAGAGTACTGCATGAAACAATGCATGTTTAAATACAACATGTACAATGTCAAAAAAGATCATGAAAATATTTGTTTTTAATCTCAAAAATTGTTTTTAACATTAACTCCAGATGAGAAAAGTTCATCATGTTATCTTAAGATAATTAAAAAAAGCACAATTACTGTATTAATATCACAAATAAAATGATTATCAAATTAATTATTTAGACACTAAAAGACTTTTTATTAACAGCAGATTCAATTTTGGTTTAATAACTGTCAGTACTGCATACAGAAAAATACATTTTTTTTTTAGCATCATCACAGTACAACATGTAGTCCTTCATTTTTTGAAAAGCTCATTACCAAGAAACAAAAGTGAAAATGAAATTATATGTATGCCATATATCACACATATTTAGAATCAAAACAAAAAGTAAATGACTTAGGATTAATCTTTTGTAAATTCCTCCTTTTCTCTTATTAGATTCCTAATTAGTATCTCTTTGATCACCATTTAGTAAGTCTGAATTTAATGGGTAACATACATAATGAATTATGAAATTATATCATAATTTATACAAAAGGACTTATTAATATTCTGAAGATCCCTTAATCATGTGTTAATATATTTTAGGTTAAATAAGGGTGTGTTTATATGAATGTAAGTTAGAGATATCAGATCACATAAGTATTACACAGTAATTAAATTAACCATATAATCATACTTAAATGCAAAGATGACCTTCATAGGAAATGTAAACAATTTAAAAAACAAGACAAACTTACCAGAGATATCCAACTATATGCCCAATAAGTCTATCCATTAAATAATCCAGTGAAATAACATCTCAGCTGATCCTGAAAAAAATCATACAATACAGTGATACACAATTAACCTCACTTTACAATGTAAGTAAAGCAATAATTTAGAGACAAAAGGCACAGAAATGTAAAAGATACCATGTATTTTATCAAAATTTAGTGAACATTTTTCTGATTTAAATTCAATTATAGAATGACCCATCATAGAAATATTAAATGCACTCTGAGTTACATGCAGGTTTTACAACTGTAAATCACATGAAATGATGATAAATACAGCATTTACATTCAAAATAGAACTTTACATATAAATTATGATTAAATGCAAAGATGACCTTCATAGGAAATGTAAACAATTAAAAAAACAAGACAAACTTATCAGAGATATCCAACTATATGCCCAATAAGCCTATCCATTAAATAATCCAGTGAAATAACATCTCAGCTGATCCTGAAAAAAATCATACAATTCAGTGATACACATTTAACCTCATTTTACAATGTAAGTAAAGCAATAATTTACAGACAAAAGGGACAGAAATGTAAAAGATACCATGTATTTTATCAAAATTTAGTGAACATTTTTCTGATTGAAATTCAATTATAGAATGACCCATCATAGAAATATTAAATGTACTCTGAGTTACATGCAGGTTTTACAACTGTAAATCACATGAAATGATGATAAATACAGCATTTACATTCAAAATAGAACTTTACATATAAATTATGATTAAATGCAAAGATGACCTTCATAGGAAATGTAAACAATTAAAAAAACAAGACAAACTTACCAGAGATATCCAACTATATGCCCAATAAGTCTATCCATTAAATAATCCAGTGAAATAACATCTCAGCTGATCCTGAAAAAATCATACAATTCAGTGATACACATTTAACCTCATTTTACAATGTAAGTAAAGCAATAATTTACAGACAAAAGGGACAGAAATGTAAAAGATACCATGTATTTTACCAAAATTTAGTGAACATTTTTTCTGATTGAAATTCAATTATAGAATGACCCATAATATAACAACATGTAGTCCTTAATTTTTTGAAAAGCTCATTACCAAGAAACAAAAGTGAAAATGAAAATATATGTATGCCATATATCACACATATTTAGAATCAAAACAAAAAGTAAATGACTTAGGATTAATCTTTTGTAAATTCCTCCTTTTCTCTTATTAGATTCCTAATTAGTATCTCTTTGATCACCATTTATTAAGTCTGAATTTAATGGGTAACATACATAATGAATTAGGAAATTATATCATAATTTATACAAAAGGACTTATTAATATTCTGAAGATCCCTTAATCATGTGTTAATATATTTTAGTTTAAATAAGGGTGTGTTTATATGAATGTAAGTTAGAGATATCAGATCACATAAGTATTACACAGTAATTAAATTAACCATATAATCATACTTAAATGCAAAGATGACCTTCATAGGAAATGTAAACAATTTAAAAAACAAGACAAACTTACCAGAGATATCCAACTATATGCCCAATAAGTCTATCCATTAAATAATCCAGTGAAATAACATCTCAGCTGATCCTGAAAAAAAATCATACAATACAGTGATACACAATTAACCTCACTTTACAATGTAAGTAAAGCAATAATTTAGAGACAAAAGGCACAGAAATGTAAAAGATACCATGTATTTTATCAAAATTTAGTGAACATTTTTCTGATTTAAATTCAATTATAGAATGACCCATCATAGAAATATTAAATGCACTCTGAGTTACATGCAGGTTATACAACTGTAAATCACATGAAATGAGGATAAATACAGTATTTACATTCAAAACAGAACTTTACATATGATAATTATGATTAAATGCAAAGATGATCTTAATAGGAAATGTAAACAAAAATAAGACAAACTTACCTGTGGAATATGTCTGTCAGAAAGGAGATTTCAAAAATGAACGCGGTCTCAACATTCACATGGCAAGAATGCATCACTGATCAGGATGTTTACTTCAGTGGTCATAGAGAAATTGAGCTTTAAACAAGAAAAGCTTCACAGCAGGAAAATCATCATAGTAAAAGAGAGAAAAAACAAAAGATAGTCCTACATTTTCTGAAAATGTAAGTTCACTTCTTAGAAACAAAAGTGAAAATGAAACTTTAATTTTACAAGTGTATGACGTCACAATGCATAGGTAAGCATATTTTTTGCACACGGCCCTAAACAAACTTGAATCGCTGCCAAAATCGTAGTAGCAGCGTTGTGAATCGTAGTAGCAGCGTATAGTGTATAATGTAAACACAGTGTAAACACCCCTATATTTAGGGGGCTATATGTACTGAATTGACCCAGCTATCCCCCACCAGGCTATCCCCCCAGGCCCCAAAAGTGGCTGCACTCCCTTGACCCGGCTATCACTTGGTTTTCCCCCCCCCAGGGGCTGCACTCCCTTGACCCACCTATCCCCCCAGGGGCTGCACGTCCGAAAGCCTTAATTTTAATGAATATCTTCGGCATTTTTAAAATCAAACCAGAGAACCCGTGTATAGAATCAGAATGCTTTAATTTTTTTTAGACAAAATGTTTTCGAACAACCAAGGACAATGTCATCGTAGGAAACCCACGGATGATCTCGTCTTTACTTATCATAAGTATATACGAGATCACCTTTGGCTTTCCGACGATGGGACAATACAGGCAAGTTACCATTTTCTATTTTTTATAAGCAGTTGTCTATGATGGCAAAAAGTATTGTCTTTACCTCTTTTGTCAGTGGCGTATGCTCCTTTCTCTTGATGTGTATGCTAGTTTGAAGTCACAGATTTGATCTGAGGCGCAGTGTGGGTAGACCATATCATGATGGGAAGACCACTATACAAAACTAAGTAATTTTAACTTTTTTACTCTGCTTAGAAAAAATGGAGACTTCCTGTCTAAATAATCGAAATACGATCAATACGTTTAACTTCCTAGTAACAAAAATATTTCCCGTTATCAACATCACTTCTTGCCCTAATCCTGTTGCTGTTGATGGTTTTGGAATTGTCTGACAAGACTTTAACAATTGAATTTCGGCTTAAAACAAGATGTGTCCCCGATGTTAAGGCATGTCACACGTGAAATTTGTTAAATCAAGGATTTTTTTGAGAAGTATATACCCGGTATTAGATAAGTACTCAAATAGTGTGACTCAAAATTGCAGAGAAATTAGGGGGTCGGTGTGCATCTTACTGATCTACGGTACAATGAAGTTGACATTTTTGCACTTAAATTTAAACTCTTTGGTTCATTACTTTAGCCTTTATGATATTTTATCAGATGTAACCATAGCAATAAATACAATTTTATTTTACGTAAAAAAGTTTGAATAATATTTAATATTGAGCATATCTTGCAAAATGCGAGTAAATTATTGTGTGACCTTTTTGCACCCAAAAAGTAACATACTTGGGGTATTAAAAACTGAATAGGCAATAAAACATTTTATTAAATCAAGCCTTTCACGACTTAAGTGCTGATCAGTCACAAGTATCGAGTAATTAGCTCACTAAATGATAACCCGTGCTTCTAATAATGGCAAAGTCCATGTTTTGCTGTGGTCGGGAAACCCAAAATACTGTAAACGTATTACATTTGGCTGTGTGTTCTTTTTAGCGCCTTTGGCGGAAAGAAACGTCCGCTAATTCAAGTACAACGCTAAATGTCTTGCACATATACTCATGTATACGAAAATGAATAAATGCGCTAAATCAAATCTACGCTAATCTGTTCAAAAATCAATTTCCTCCAAACATCGTACATGCCAAATATAATACATTTACAGTAGGTATCGAATCAAAAAGTAAAATAGGAGATGCACAATGGCAATATGTAATAAATATTCTGTGAACGTTTCATTAAATTTCACTCAGTGGTATAAGAGGAGTTGCGGATAAGAGATGGGTACCCCAAAGCGTAACAGACAAACGGACGGACGTACAGCTAGACGGACGGACATACCGATTACAGTATACCCCGCACTTTTCATGTTGGGGGGAGGGGAAGGTTATAATAAATGTGCAGATTTGCAGAATTATCTGCTAAATATCCTTCCACCACAAGAAATAATCCCTTAGAAATCTTGCTTCTTTGCATCTTCGCTAGCCAAGGTTTCTGATATGCTACTCTCCTCGTAAACCCTTGGCATACGGTGAAGTCAAAAGACGGGATTGTTTTCCGTCACGTTATCTTGAATCTATCAGGTACGCACAGATTGCGTCATCGCCAGAAATAAAGACTTGTGTTAAAAAAAAATTAAATCAAAGTTTTTTCAAGAATGATTAAGAAGCAATAATTGAGTTATGTTTATTCATTATTTAAAGAACAAATCTGAAGCTTCAATATAGATTCTTAATCACATATTTAGAAGATGTTGGATGACACCATGGCTATTCATAGAATTGAATGTTATCTTACGGATCGTTGTTTACTTGCGTTTTTCATTTCCGAGATTAAAGAGTGAAGATGTATCCCGAACGCAAATATTGTCATTTACAAAAAACAATTGCTGATTGGTCGACCTGGGTGTACTGAAATATAATCAGAACACTGGAAAATAATCCCGATTTCTATGAACACCGTAGGCCAAGGGTTTATGAGGAGAGTAGCGTATCAGAAACCCTTGGCTAGCGAAGATGGCTTCTTTGTAGGTTTTTGAGCAGTTTTTTCGTTGAATGTAAAAACATTAACATTGTTGAATCAAAATATGTTATAAAAATTGAATTTTAATGAATAGTCTTGAAGAAATAGGTTCAATTCTGCGTGAACTTTTCTAAAAAGCTGACGAGTGACATACTATAGTACCTTAAGACAATTCTGGAGTGGGAGGTAGAATGAAGTGGTATACATCTATACCCTTGACAGCGCAATAGTTATGAGCTTGATTAAAATTGACAACAGACAGACAAACAAACAGACATCACAACAAGAGGCCCATGGGCCACATCGCTCACCTGAGTACCAAGGGTAGGACTAGTATAAAATGTCTTTTTATTGTAAAGTTTAAATCCAAAAGTAGTCCCATGACCAATCATGGATTTGCTATTTTTTCGAAAATGATTGAGAAGAAGATTTTTAAAGAATTTTCCTATATATTTCTATGTAAAACTTTAATCGGCCATTTTGGCCCCGCCCTACCCCCAGGGAATCATGATTTAAAAAAACTTGAATCTACACTACCTGAGCATGCTTCCATATAAATATGATGAATAATGGCTTTTTCATTCTTGAGAAGAAGATATTTAAAGAATTTTCCTATATATTTCTATGTAAAACTTTGGTCGGCCATTTTGGCCCCGCCCTACCCCCGGGGGTCATGATTTGAACAAACTTGAATCTACACTACCTGAGCATGCTTCCATATAAATATGATGAATTATGGCTTTGTCATTCTTGAGAAGAAGATTTTTAAAGAATTTTCCTATATATTTCTATGTAAAACTTTGGTCGGCCATTTTGGCCCCGCCCTACCCCCGGGGGTCATGATTTGAACAAACTTGAATCTACACTACCTGAGCATGTTTCCATATAAATATGATGAATTATGGCTTTGTCATTCTTGAGAAGAAGATATTTAAAGAATTTTCCTATATATTTCTATGTAAAAATTTGGTCGGCCATTTTGGCCCCGCCCTACCCCCGGGGGTCATGAGTTGAACAAAATTGAATCTACACTACATGAGCATGCTCCCATATAAATATGATGAATTATGGCTTTGTCATTCTTGAGAAGAAGATTTTTAAAGAATTTTCCTATATATTTCTATGTAAAACTTTGGTCGGCCATTTTGGCCCCGCCCTACCCCCGGGGGTCATGATTTGAACAAACTTGAATCTACACTACCTGAGCATGCTCCCATATAAATATGATGAATTATGGCTTTGTCATTCTTGAGAAGAAGATTTTTAAAGAATTTTCCTATATATTTCTATGTAAAACTTTGGTCGGCCATTTTGGCCCCGCCCTACCCCCGGGGGTCATGATTTGAACAAACTTGAATCTACACTACCTGAGCATGCTTCCATATAAATATGATGAATTATGGCTTTGTCATTCTTGAGAAGAAGATTTTTAAAGAATTTTCCTATACATTTCTATGTAAAACTTTGGTCGGCCATTTTGGCCCCGCCCTACCCCTGGGGATCATGATTTGAACAAACTTGAATCTACACTACCTGAGCATGCTTCCATATAAATATGATGAATTATGGCTTTGTCATTCTTGAGAAGAAGATTTTTAAAGAATTTTCCTATACATTTCTATGTAAAACTTTGGTCGGCCATTTTGGCCCCGCCCTACCCCCGGGGGTCATGATTTGAACAAACTTGAATCTACACTACCTGAGCATGCTTCCATATAAATATGATGAATTATGGCTTTGTCATTCTTGAGAAGAAGATTTTTAAAGAATTTTCCTATATATTTCTATGTAAAACTTTGGTCGGCCATTTTGGCCCCGCCCTACCCCCGGGGGTCATGATTTGAACAAACTTGAATCTACACTACCTGAGGATGTTTCCCCATAAGTTTCATCTTTCCTGGCACAGTGGTTCTTGAGAAGAAGATTTTTAAAATATACCACTAAATTTTCATTAATTCCCAATTATCTCCCCTTGAATAAGGGCGTGGCCCTTCATTTGAACAAACTTGAATCCCCTTCACCCAAGGATACTTTGTGGCAAGTTTGGTTGAAATTGGCCCAGTGGTTCTTGAGAAGAAGTCGAAAATGTGAAAAGTTTACAGACAGACAGACAGACGGACAGACAGACAGACGGACAGACGGACGCCGGACAAAATGTGATCAGAAAAGCTCACTTGAGCCTTCGGCTCAGGTGAGCTAAAAACAACATGCCCCCGTTATCTTCCGATCCAGGGGCATATAGAAAGCACAACTGAAGACATTTAAATGGAAAAGGTATAAGAGTGCGGATTTCTAAGTGTGCTTTTTTGGCATTTGCAATAAAATTATATATCAGATATGCAAGATTTATTAACCCCCCATTTCCCATTTTTTCAACTGAATAAATTTTTACGATTTTATATTAAATTAGATGAGAGACAAACTCCTTTCATGATCAATTAATTCAATTAAATCATGAATGAAAACTTCATATACAACCATTTCGATTGATAAGTTAAAGTCCAGACTTTTTGAC